TCTAGGGGGGTCCAGGGGCACGCACCCCCGGGAAGATATTTTTTTAAATGTTGAAGTTAAATACATCAATCTGTTGCACTTTGAGCACAAAATGAATTGATGGATACAGCTCTCAACACTCAGATGAAAGGGAGCTGTATACTTTTCAATAATCCAAACATCTTTAGAATATGATTACAACCAATAACAAATCATTTAAACTTGTTTATTCTTATCGTATGTTACCTAGTTAGCATTCTTTCTTTTTATGTATGCATATTTTACTAATCACTCCCCTTCTAAAACAATTTTTTTTTTACTGTCCTATAGTACACATTGGAATGATTTCTTACTTTATTTTTTACATCTATATTGAATAGATAAAGGTGTGCTCGCTCTAGCTCTCTGTCTTGCTCGCTCACAGAGGCTGTGTGTGCTCCTCCGTGGCGATGACGGCTTGCGTTACAAAACAATAATAAACATAGGCCTATTTGTAAAGTGGGGGGACACAAACGGGATTTCGAAAAGTATCACTGTTAAACTCCTTATGAAGTGGTGAGGTGCCGCTCCACATTGCTTTTCTTCGCGACTGCAACGCTGTTGTGTGTGTGTGTGTGTGTGTGTGTGTGTGTGTGTGTGTGGTGTGTGTGTGTGTGTGTGTGTGTGTGTGTGTGTGTGTGTGTGTGTGTGTGTGTGTGTGTGTGTGTGTGTGTGTGTGTGTGTGTGTGTGTGTGTGTGTGTGTGTGTGTGTGTGTGTGTGTATGAGAGATGTTTACCTATGTCTGTAAATGATTTTGGTTTCAGTTGTGTGCAGTGGTGTAGTGGGCGTTGGACGCGGGGGTACACCGTACCCCCACTTCTTTGGAGCATGATCTTTTTTTTAAGTCTAATAAATATAAAATCATTGCCAGTGTTATCAGTTGCAAGTGTGTATTTGTTGTAATAATGACAAAAACACAATACATTTCACAGTAATTATAATTTAAAAAAACGATTTCCTTAAAAAAGTATGATTCATCATCACGCTCGCGGTCACTGACGCACCCACGGCGAGCCAGCTCGCCGCGCCCGCCGGCAGCTCTTTCCCTCAAGAACACTAACGAAAAAGCTCGAAACTGAACGAAAAAAATGGCAGGCTAACATGTTTTACTTGACTTGTTTTCTAAAAAGAAAATAATTCACAAGAAGAAAGAGGCTAGCAGCACCGAAGCTACAAGTGAAGCTGCTAGTAATACATCATCAGAAGAGCCGCCTAAAGACGTGGATAATGCTAGCTAACGTGCACGTTAGCTGCGCTAGCAACGTTCCCCTGGCTAGCTCAAACTCACCTTTCCCAGCGGTATGGACGGAGGAGATGTGGCGGAGGAAACAAGAGGCATACCCGTGGATAGACTGCAAAGCTGGGAAACTGGGCTGCAAAGTTTGTTCATCCATTTCGGATTTATCAGTCTTCAAAACCCAAGGTGTGTTTGTGTGTGTGTGTGTGTGTGTGTGTGTGTGTGTGTGTGTGTGTGTGTGTGTGTGTGTGTGTGAAAAGCAGCGCTGTCTGCTTATTTGCAATGTAGGCTAGGCCTAATCAGAATAATGTCAAGTCCAGATTCAATGTTGGTTGCATAAGTATGGCTATATTTTTCGTTTTGTTTATTTAATAAGTTAATTTCAGGACAACTTTGGACATTTTGTTTGTTTGTTATGAGAGAGAGAGAGAGAGAGAGAGAGAGAGAGAGAGAGAGAGAGAGAGAGAGAGAGAGAGAGAGAGAGAGAGAAGAGAGAGAGAGCGAGAGAGAGAGAGAGCTAGAGAGAGAAGAGAAGATCTCTCTCTCGCTCATCTCTCTCTCGCTCTCTCTCTACTCTCTCTGCTCTCTCTGCTCTCTCTCTCTTCTTCTCTCTCTACTCTCTCTTCTCTCTCTCTCTCTCTCTCTCGCTGGAGTCTGCTTTTTGCAGTACAGTAACTAAAGTTAGACTAATCATACCGTAGTTTCTATGGACCTGTCTGCCCGTTTTTGTGAGTGCACTGCGCACTTGTGTGGCATTGTGTGGGATGACCTAATAAAATAGCGTCCCCCCAGTAAAAAAAATCCCCACTACTACACACTGGTTGTGTGTGTGTGTGGTGTGAGCAGCTTGGATTGGCCATCGGGAGATTCGGGACTTTTCCCGGTGGGGCCGCTGCCGTTGGTGGGCAGGCCCGTTGGTTGGGCCGCTGCCGTTGGTGGGCCGCTGCCGTTGGTGTGGGGCCGCTGCCGTTGTGTGGGTGGGCCGCTGCCGTTGGTGGTGTGGGGCCGCTGCCGTTGGTGGGCTGCTGCCATCGGGGGGGCCGCTGGCTCTGGCATAGGTGGGACGTGGACTTTCACAGCGCCGCTGCCGCCGGTACCCAGGTAATCCGCAAAACACTCGCCGGCCGCCTCACGCCCCCGTTCATCGCGTCCGTTTGCGACCCACCTATCATATCCCTATCCCACAGCCCACACTTTGATAACGCTGAGTTACAGTAATAGCTGAGACATACTAGCAACAAGCCAGGAGGCAAAAATATGTAGACAGAGCAGGACTCTTCTACACTCCATAACAAATTAGAGAAAAGATGCCACAAAAAAAATAGTTATTCATGCCTTTTTGGTTTTTCTTCTGTAGCAAAATGTGACTATACGTGCATTATGTTGCACAGCCTTGTGTTGTGCAATGATCCTCGTATGACTAATGATATCACTGATGTGTGAAAAACCATTTGGCAGTTTAAAAAAGAAAGTCTGCTGTTGTGTTCACTTGGAAACTCCATTAATACAGAATACATACCAGAGTGTGGTATGTGACACAGTCAGTGGCGACTGGCCATTAGGGGCAGGTGGGGCACAGCCCCACCTAGTGTCAGTAGAAAGTATTACAAATAATGATTACAACAAAATGCAAAAAAAAAAATAAAAAAATATATAAAATATATTTTAAGATCATGTTTAATCATCTGATTCGTCTGTACATTGCTGTTTTAGTCTGTGTTCTTCTAATTAGTGTCTACAGTGTGTGCCTATTGAGCTGTTTGAGCCATGTGGGACAAAACCCGATCCCGCCCCTCCCTCTCTATGTCTAAGTGAACGGTGACTGTAAAAACTACACTGCGCATGCTCAGAATATTTTCCTATTCAGGCCCAATCCCAAACCACTCCCTCGACCCTACCCCTCCGTGATGGAGTGAACTCCGTCTGTAGCCACACTCGCAGCTCAACGAGGCTCCCTCCTGTCAGATGGAGGGAGTAAATACAGCAGCAAGCTTTGGGACGGCCTCCCTTCTCTCCGGCAGAAACAGGAAATGCCGTAACTGTATGTAACAACGGTTTCAAATCAGCATCTCTTAGACAAAAAGTTTAAATGAATAACTCAAATAAAAACTCCAAACATCTTTCATTGTGTTTCAAAGCTCTTTTAGTTTTAAACCTGATGTTTATAAGCTTCTTAGTTTTTGCAACGGTCTGTAAATATACACAACTTTATAATAAAATGCACACATTTACCTTTTTCTAGACTAAACACAGGTATGATCCTAAGTTAGAAACATATGAGGTCATCATGAGGTTGTTAACATCGCAATTTATCAGTGGATGTTTGCTGGAACTACTTGTAAACAGCGTGTTTCCTGACGGACACACACAGGTCAGGTAGAGACCGGTCTCAAGTCAGCACCGCTGCAGACTCGCTGTTTGAGGGCTTGATCGCCCTTTCCTCCTCCACACTCGTTGCTTTGGAACAGCCCTCAATATGGCGGACCCTCCGCGTGAACGCGCAAACGGAGGGGTAGGGTGTAGGGGCGGTTTGGGAATGGGCCTTAATGTGTGTGGCAAAAACATAATGACCATAGGGGCATAGAGCTGCCATCCCCACCATACGTCATCTCACATAATTCAGAGCTGATTGGCTGTAAGTACGTGTGCCGCGAAAAGTGTGGTGTGTGAAGAGGAGACGAGAGAGAGAGCTGCAGTGAGGCGTCCTAAAACCCGGAAGTAAGCTGCGCATGGCTTCCCTCGACAAAAAAGCAATGAGATTTCTCCATAGGATTTTAGAAAATAGCTCCAAATAAGGTCTGTGGGAAACGTAGCTGTTAGAAAAATGCACGTTTTGTTCAGCCGGATAATATCCACATGTCTACCCTACTTTTATAATTTTCGAATCATAAATCTATTGATTAGATTAGATTTATGATAGACTTTTGAAACTACAAGAACATAAGGAGGACTTTTACAAAAAAGTAATAGAGATTTTTGTCCAGAAGGATAGGCAAATGGACTTAATCTTCAAGTCAAGGTAAGACTGCAATTTTATTGAAAATGGGATCTTACTAAGAGAGAACAATTCAATATTTGAATAATTAAATTACATTTGTTGGGTATCCTTCTGTTGAACTGTCTGTTTAAAATGAATTGAAGCATCAGACAAAAAAAAGGTTTTGAAAATAATATTATATTTTGATTTAGGTCAAAATATAATATTTGTAAACCTGAAGAGTCAGTGCCAGTGCCTCACCAGCCATGAACCTCACTGCACGTCACTGCAGAAGCTTATAGACATCTAAGTTTTTTGTGCCCCACCACTTTTGTACATATAAAAACGCCACTGGACACAGTACATGTTTACTGTACAGGCAGATCAGGGGTGTCCATCTATGATGTCCTACTATCTACTAACTTTTCTCTCTATCTTACAGTCCCCTTGATTAGTTTTCCATCAGTGTGTTGTGAGGATCGAATGAGGTCACTGTGTGTGAGCTGCCAGCTAATTCACATGGTGGGCTGGAAAAAAACACATTTGTTTTTTAGGGCAATAGCTCCCCCTGTTGCCACAAATAACAAAATGTCCGACAAGTTTAACAAAATAACCCAGATGTTGGCCTCCGGTTTTAATACAACATAAACAGGACATATGTTCAGAGAAAACAGTCAATAATGCTAACGCTGATGTCTGATACAGAATTATTATGAATTTGACGACATCTTGATAAGAGTGGAGCAGTAACAGATGCAGGACAGTGGTGTTGTTTTTTGTACAAGTTTATATGGCTTAGGTCGGAGGTGTAATTACTGCATCAATGTAAACTAGAAATCCAAAACAGGTTACTTATGGTATGAAGCTGGCAATATAATGTTGTATCCTCCCAGTTTTGTTCAGCGGCTCTTTGCTGATGTTTAAGGGAGAAAAGGGCTGAAACTAAAGATTATATTCATTGATGAATAATTTGTAATGTTGTCCCAGTATTCTTTCCCTTTCTCGTCCATCTGTCCTTCTATCTAATTAAAGCAACAATGTCAAAAAAATATCTTCAAGAAAATAAGTCCGAAAATGGTGGGGAAAAGAATGGTGGTCGTTCAGTGTTTCCCAGCCCAAGATAATGTCCTTAAATGTCTTGTGTCGTCCGAAACTCTAAATAAAATGTCAATTAAACCTTAGAACAATCATATTTCAAATGCTGAAATCAGAGAATATAATCGTTTTTTCCTCAACCGATTATAAAAATAGTTGGCAATTCATTCTTTACTTTTATTTGAATCGTTTATTTGGCAGGGACATTGGACATTAATACACTTAAAACAAGAAATGTGTCAAGCGTAAATATGTCGGATTTAGCTTTGAGCTACTTTCCATCCGCAGTCCCTCACATAAAACATTTAAGAAAATTACATTTATAGACATGACAAAAACAAATACATGATGATATGCAAAAAGTGCAAAAGAGCAAGAGCAGAATACACAAGTATTTAACGACATATAAAGAGCAAGAGAGGAAAAAAGTTTTAAATGTATTATCGTGAAATGTTTGCAGCCTTAGAAAACAATGTAGCCACATGTGGTGTTTCCAGGTGAAGATGAATGTAATCCTGACCTAGTAGGTTTTGAGCTTAAGTCATTTTTTCTCGCAGCACATTTGAAGATGCAGTGTGTCTGTGGTCACCGAGGTGGCTTCAGGAGCTCCTGCAGGTCTCCCTGGGGTGCCAGCTGGAAGGGAAGCAGCAGCCTGTTGTTCGCCTGGCTGCAGAGCGCTGCACAGCACTCCATCAGCAGCAGACACACCTCTTCATGACTTCGTTCTGCAGCCTGCTCAAGCATTAACAAATACAGGCACCAGGTTATAAGATCAATTAATCTACACAATACTTGATTGTTAAAAGAAGCCTGAATTATTTCCTGAATCACAGCAGCTCCATTTCAAACATCAACTAGGACAAATAGTTAGGACAATAAACAAGACAACAGAAATGTAACAAAACATTACAATCACTAAAAACAATATTTTCAAGACCCTTTAACATGCATTTGATTTGGGATTAAACTAATTATTTAACTTTAGAGTTGACTGGTGCCCAGAACATTGCTTCAATCACATCCTAATACATTTTGGAAAGCAGTATCTCTGATTTGATGGTTATAATTTATATTAGCTGTTGAAGATGTGGTTGGGGTCAGAGACAATGTTGTTGGAAAGTCTCAATATGTTACTATGGTAGATTGAGTCATGGAGATTCTTAAAGGGTTGACATACAATCTTTGAGCAGATGTTTATTAGGTGGTGCAGTTTATTTTATGCTGGTACTTCTGTACCTTATGTAGAGGAGAAGAACCGTCGTCATTGGAAATAGAGTCAGGCTCTTTTCTGAGCAATGTAAAGGTGGAGAACTAGGCTGGAGTTGGAAAACGGTAAATAATGGAGATATAGGAGAGACAGAACCACTGATACCTTCAACAACGGTCAACCATGCAGATTGATGAGAGAACCCGATAGAATTGCCCGCCAAGCAGGTGTACTCCCCAGCGTCATCAAAAGACACATTTCTCAGTTGGAGGATTTCCATTTCCTTGTCCGTGGTGTTAAGGCCAGCGATCTAGAAAATAACAAAGAAAGCAGACCCAACAAGAGGCCCACGAGGGGAAAGGTAACCATGAGTAAAGGATTCTGAAAGAGAAAGGGGATGGAGGAGCGTTCTCCTCCTCGATCCAACACCATCTGCCCACAAAGTACCACAGAGAGCCCCTGCAGAGGACTCTCCTTTCTGTTAGTGGAGAAGAGGGTTAGGTTGACTCCTGAACTGGGCCACCCCATCACCACATCAAATACCTCAGTCTCATCTCTACATGCAAGAGATGGGCAACATGGAAAACTCTGCAGCAGAACAGGGCACACTCACAATCATACAAACTATGTAAGCATCAGATAAAAACAGGAGGTCTGGGGAACATAGCTAAACAGAAGGAGGACAGCTGGAAAAAAATCTGGTGACGATCGGGCCTCTCCATATATAATTGGACACTTTACAAATATACTCTCCGCTCTCCTCCTCAGTCACATTGTAGAGGGCCAGCACCTGAGCGTCCGAGCTATTGACCCCAGAATGCTGGAAATAAAAACATGTCATGTACATCACAGAAAATCAGATGACAGTAAAGAATTCAGGAGAAGTCATGTTGGTTATGTGCAGAGATTCAATAGCAAGATACACTTCATATATTCAGTTCCTACCACTTTAAGCCACTCTAAAAAGGATGTAAGATCAACTTTCAGATAACCAAAGTTAAATAGAAAAACAATAATTTGGCCCAAAATATATGTGTAACATTAAACCTTTTTCATAGAATTTTCACTCCCAAATGTTGCATCTCCTCTGAGCATCACAGCAAACAACTCTAAAATAATAAATGAAACATGAGTATTGCTGTATCCTGATCTGCGTGACGCTAATGTGCAAGCCATGCAGTAAATTATTATTTAAAAAAAAAAAGATGGATACCTATCATTTATAGATTGTAAAATATAAAATGTGTTTTATCAGGAAAAACATTTATTTAGCTCCACTGCCTGTCTTGGCCTTTTCAGAGATTTGAAAGGTTAATCAAAGTCATATTTTCCCATAAATAAGCACTACATTTTTAGATTCACACATTGAATGCCTTTTTAAGACTTTTATGCAGATCCGCAACTACTGGCTATCTAAGAAAATAAGTGGCATAGCAATACAGGGCAACATATAAAGAAGCATTCAAAAGAGTAATTTATACTGGTTTGTTGCTGCAGGAGTGATAAGAGGAAGCTCCTACCTTGAGCACACGGACATACGGTACTCCATCAGAGTCAACTCTGTTCCCGTTCACCTCGATGTGCTTCAGCCACTGGATGTGAGGCTGAGGGTCGCTGAACACTTTGCACTCAAACTCCACGTCGCTGCCCACCACGGCGGTGCGGTCAGTGGGCAGGCCGGCCTGCAGGATGGGCCTGTTGGGAGTGCGCTCTGAAACACAACACAAAACAAACGAATGTTAGATTAGAAGAAGATTGGCGAGCTTCAATATCAAAGACAAACACGTGCATCACTCCAAAAGTACACACGGCTGACTGATTATCAAACACAAGCCAAACAAAACCAATGCGTTGTTACGGGAAAGGGCCGGGACAGTCCGTCTGTATAATCTAAACTGATACTATGTAAATTATAGACAATCGTTCTGCTACATGGAGAATAAAATCAGCTATTTCCTCAGCTATTGAGGAAATAGATGGAAGTTGAGTATCTGATCTGGAGCTGTTACTGAAAAAATGTAAAGTTCCTGAGGCTCCATTTTGATGACTGATAACTCTCCAAAATAAACTCACTAGCCAAGAATCTGGCAGTGTGTCAACTGTGCAGGCTTTCCTCACCAAGACATTCATTGGCTCTTAGCAAGCACTTGTGAAAAAACTCTCCCTTCACTGACGCCGTATCTCTGCTCATCAGGGTCTAAACATGGACTGAGGTCGAGCCCAGGGACAGCAGTGACGGAGGAAGTGGGGCCGAGATTTATAGAACCAGTGGTGTAGGAGTGAGGCTCAGGGCAGGTCTGAGGGGAGTCATCACTTCTCTCCTCTACACACATCCATCACTCGTGCACAGGCTTTATTTATTAAAGGGCTGAGAGAGATACAGTCGAACCCAACACAAGACTTTGACGCTTCGGGGATGAGGATTACAACTGGTTGGGTAATAGGGTATTCTGGTATGAGATATTAGAGGTATTATCCAACATTACTACATCCAAGGAAAAGGATTAGGGACAAATTGATTCATGTAGGAATTGGGGCAACCCTAACCCTTTTTTTCTTTTAAATAAATAAAAGAAATGTATGGTGAATGTCTTGGTGAAACAAAACGTATGGTGAAATAGGCTAACTCCTTAGAAACTTGTCTAAGCCTCCCATTTTCATGTATGCATCGGCAGCAGTTTATTTTTTGTGTAACTTGAAGTTGTTATTCTTGAAGTAAGTGAGAATTAAGAAATACTAAACACCATTTAGCTAAATCTGTTTATTTGTGCTAGTTTAGCATGAATACATATTAATATGCAATAATATAACAATTAAATCGTCCTAAGCACACTTTACTGCTTCTATACCATATTTTTGGACAACATCTTTATTAGCACAAAGCGGACTGGGGATTTCAATGAAAGCGTGACCTCAACAAACCAAATCAATCAATATTGAATCAAAATCAGAAAACATTGAAAGATTAACACCCATACTCTGGATTCTCATCAATATTCAACAGGTGACCAAGCCATGATATAGATTTATTGATCAGGGTTTAATATACAGACAACCTGATTGCAGTTTACACTTACCCACTACGTCGAGCTGGTAGGTGTGATTGATGCTGCCGTACTGGTTCTCCACCACACAGGTGTAGTTTCCCTTATCAGAGGGAACTACAGATTCCATGATGATGGTCCACACATGATCCCGGACCTAACAGTTTGGAAAAAGCAAATGTTAGAGTGACTGGCGTACAAACACAGTACAGATAGGACTGCTGCTCAAAGTGACTAAGTATCCAAACATACGGTTTATGGTATTAAACAGCACAGGGGATATCCCAGCTATGTACACAGATTAGTTCATTTGTTGGCAGCTACAGATGTGTTAGCTCACAAAAACCTCTCACTGCAGGTCAGATTAGGTCCTGATGGAAATGATAAAAATAGCACTTAATAGTGTTTAAGAACAATCAGTACTTAAATTCAACTCAAATTGAAGTAACGTAAATGAGGCCAGCAGCTAGCCCACAGAGATGAAGCTAAATTGCAATTCTGCATTTTACATTAAAAACTTAAGAGAACTTGTGTTCTCTCCATCTGCTTTTAACCTATATGAATTGTCGTAAATCAAATGTTGTTCTGTTCAAAGCGACGGCTAACAAGGTCAATGATGTGTGATGTGATGATAACAAGATAACACACTACTCCTTCTTCCTGTGACACCAGCCTATGTTACAAACAGCGGATCTTTGTCCTACCAAACAAAGACCAAAGGAAAATGGGTACATGTTTTATATACATCTGCCCCAACTTGTCTTATTAGCGCCAACTGATGTCTGGCTCTTTTTTCCAAGACATGTTGTAGTTTTTCTTCCATAAATCTGCGAAGACCGGCAGTGTGGGATTACCCAACGAACCTCTGAGGCAATGGCAACATCAAACATGCATATACACAAGACCAAGCCATACAGTTTCCCTCATTTAGCTAAAACGTGATTTGGGAGTCCAGCTGCCTGCTGCCAGATGTGTTGTGCTTGGCTACATATACATGTGGTCCACATTAGTCCCTCCCTCCTGCACGTCTCCATGCAGACGATATGAACAATAGAAGCCCAGGCCATAAAAGCAAGAGTGTGGGAGGGATGAGAGACGTCCCCGGCCGCTGATGCAGACCTTTGCACCTTGACTCAAAAAAACAGCAGCCAGATGGTTAAGTTTGCTGCCTGGCTGGGTGGGGACAAGGAGAGCAGGCAGCTGGGAGGAAACTCTTAAATGTGTCCCAGCTGGGGAGGGAGATGGGCTGGAAGCACCAGACAGGGCTGGACTAGTATACACCTTGATAGGAAGAGCAAATGAAGGAAGGAGGGGGATGTTTCTTAGAGAACATGGCCATACATCCCACACCCGTGAGGCTGAACACAGATAATCACAGAGAAGTTGATGTAAAGGTACTTAAAGCAACGTATTTACAGCCTCCTATGACATTATGACTACGGTTTTACCAAATATATTTTTTTATCAAAAAGGTCATCTGAGGTTTTTAAATAAAGCCCTAAAAATAAAAATCCTTAAAAACGAATACATTATTCAAAGTCTCTGGGGCCTCATGATGCCATAGCCAGTAAGTGGTGGTGTAAAACAGATCCGGTTCACATCCATCACCTGCCACACCTCTGCTAAGTAAATCCAGAGATAACAGTAAACTGTGTTATCAACAATTATAGTTTAGCAGTTTACCGTATTAGCAGATGGCTGCGCATTTGAATACAGCTTGCCAGGAAATGGGCAGACGTTGACGAAGTTATGATAGCATACACAAAATATACAGTAAGTAGTATATAGAGGCTGTGAAACAACATTTTTATCTTTTGACACTGACCAAATTGTTAAAAGCCATACGTTTTGATACCATATTCCAATACATAAGGATTAAATCTCATGAACGTTAGTGAGCTAATAAACATGGAGCTTGTCTGTACAATAAGAAAAATAAATAATCTGTAAGGTACTGCATATTGTCGTAATTTTGTTTGTATTCAAATTAAATGTATAACATTGGTGTCAAAAAAGGGTATCATTCAGGGATCAGACACAGGGACCAGATATAACTGAACAATACCCAGCCCTCATATTGGTAGATTTACTGCTGCATGGATGAAATTACAGAAATGTCTTGATACCCAGAATGAGGACAGACAATGTTATGGGTGGCTAGGATTGCCCACCTGGAGGTATTATAGCTCTGCCACGACTTCCCTTTTTGTGGCATTAGGTTTCATCTTGCATTGTTTCTCAGGTCAAATGTGACACTTGCCTCCGCTTTTCACTTGCAGGAAGTGTTTCTTACTCCAGGGGAGGGGGCGGTGGTGATCTAATGTAGAGATGAGATCACTGACACATCTCCCCTCGTAGTGAACGGGCTTGGAGTTATTCAATAAGAAATGCTAAGGAGGGTGTAGTGTCACTAAAAATAAACTGAACGGAAAACGTTTCTTAAAATATGTTCTGTTACCTTGAAGCCCCCGATGCGATGGTCTCTCTTCAACTCCCTTCCATTCTTGTACCATTTCAGGGTGGGATTTGGGTTTCCGCTGGCCCGGCACCGAAACTTCATCGTCCTACTGGCTGGGACAGCGTGAAGCTTTTTCTCCATTTTCTCTGGATGAGCCCATTGTGGAGCCATTGCTAAAGAAGACGACACAAAATAAAAATAAATCAGACAAGTAATAAATACTATCTTGTGTTTGTAAGGATGGAAAACATTGTAGGTACCTTAAACCCTTAAACCTCAAGCTCCATTTGAATCAGGGCAATAGCTTTATTGTAGGGTTTTCAAAGGCAAATTGGTCCCAGGGGGAGGGGCCACACTACGAGTAATTATAGGGCCCCGTCCACACGGAGACGAAAAATCACAAAAAGTCGGCTCAAGAAATGAAAATGCTGGAAAACGCAGGAGATGCTGTAGTACATATGACGGGCCTGTAAGTGGCGCTGTACTTCCACCACAAAATACACCAAAAGCAGCGAATAAGACCGATGACGATTATTATTACTACATTATATCAGCGACGTGCAGTCAGGGGAGGCAGAGCCTCACCTGTCATACTCCAATGTAACGGAAAAACAACTAAAGAAAAACTAAATAGTAATAATAATAAAATGTCTCCACTGATCTGTGTTGTAAGTGTGATTTCTGTATGATTCCAATCGCTTTTTATAGTAAAAATCAGCAAATTGGCCGAGCTCCGCTACAACTACATGGGAGTGAGGCAGGGACGAGCTCTGCCTCACGTAAGCCCACAGTAACTGGCTGGAGCGCGGGCACTAATGTAGCGCGGGCACTTATTTTGTGAGCGCGCTCAAGCCAGTTACTGTGGGGTGAGGTGAGGCACAGATGAGCTCTGCCTCACCTCAGAATGCGTCACCCCACAGAAACTGGCTGGAAAGCGGGCCCTAAGCGCATGCCTGTTACCATCTCACTGTATGTCACCAATGTAATGTTTGTAGATCCCTTTATTACATTTATCCTCGCCATCCATAGTCTCTAAATAACTTATTTTACGTATATATGATATTTAGGCCCGCTGGTCTCATCATACAACGGCAATGAAAAAAGCACCTGGAGAGGCAGCCATAACCTCTGCCCAGAGATGGGGACTCGAGTTTGTGACTCGGACTCGAGTCGCACTTAAGTCGCACACACAGAGACTTCAGACTTGACTTGGACTCCTGCTCAAAAGACTTCGGACTCGACTTGGACTCGTGTTTTGGGACTCGTGAACAATCATTGTGTTTTCTATTTTTGGCGTATTAAAGGTGGGGTAGGTAAGTTTGAGAAACCAGCTCGAGATCGCTAGAATTTGAAAATACACAACCGGAGAAAATCTGCCACTTCCTCACAGAGCCCCTCCTCCAACACACACGAACGCGCACATGACCAATGAGGGCACGAGATAAGTTTGTGCCCCGATGGAAGGCTGACAGGCTGGTAGGCCATCCAGTTACTTTAGCCGGGCCGTCTATCGGGATGTTAAGAGCATTCCATGGAATATAACAAAAAGTGTATCTCGAGCCGGTTTCTCAAACTTACCTACCCCACCTTTAACATTAACATTAACATCATGGTCACACCATGGCGACCGGCTGTACCGCTTGTAATTAGGTTCAACTATAAAAACTTCGAACAAAACGCCGGCGGCACCAACAAAAGGAGCGCACACTGCAAAGTCTGCAATATTAAAATCAAGGATGCTGGTGCAACAACGTCAAATTTCATCAGGCACTTGAAAACTCACCCGGAGAGGTCAGTCACATTAACGCATATGGACGGTTAGCAAACATGTTTAGCTCAGCATCAGCTATATAATGTTAACTTAGCTTGCTACTAGCTTTGTAACTGAATATTTGAAAAGATGAGTGAATGTTTGCTTGTCACACTTGTTTGCGTTGAGTGGCGTTGACATCCAACTCTTGACATGACATAAAAAAAGTCGGTAACGTTAATCATTACGTTCCGCTGCCACCATCTACTGGCTAACGTTAAACTTAGAAAAATATATAGTTACATACATAAATACATCTGTCGGTTTATAGGCAGGTTACAGGTTTATTGTTGACCACGTAACGTTAATGTTACAGGTTTATCAGGTTACCATTACACTAGGTTTGAATGAGAGGATAGAGGAATATGTTTATTTATAGTAGACTTAAAAGATGTAATTAGAGACCCAGTGTAATTAAACAATACGGTTGCAGAGGTCAAATTTTAACATTTTTGTCCACTGGCCAAATGGCTAGCCTAGTGAATGTTGAAATTTTACCAGCCACTCAATGGATTGCCATTGTTATTTGTGGCTGGTGCGTGCAACATACAGTACCAGCCACTTGCATGATTTACCAGCATTTGGCTGGTAAATGGTGTTAATGGTAGATATCTCTTTTGGAACAGGTCATGTTTTAATATGACCAGTTCAGTATATTTCAGATAATATTGCAGCAATAGTTTTTTAGTTGCAAATGGCACAGAACAAATGTATACTTTTAAGTACTTTTAACACAGTTTCCCTGCGGGGGATTAATAAAGTATTTGTGATACTGATTTCTGATTCTGAAGTGTTTTGCTTATAAGTTGTTTGCATTTAGCTAAAGTGTGATGTTTTTCCTCATATTGCATTGCAATAGCCTGTTTAAAGTTATCATATAACAAACAACTAATCAGTACTGATACTGTATGCGAATAGATATAGGAGTGATAATAATACAGTAAATGCTTTGAATGTCTTAGATATAGCTGTGCAGTATTCTTAACAGACTGGATAGCAGCAGACAATAGAAGGCTTATTACAACCAGAAGAGACATGAGACTTTTATTTTTTAGAGACTTGAGACTTGACTTGGACTCGTGACCAAAGACTTTAGACTTGATCAAGTCTCACCCCACAAAGACTTGAGACATGACTTGGACTCGTGACCAAAGACTTGAGACTTGACTTGGACTTGCAAAAAAAGACTTGTGAACATCTCTGCCTCTGCCGCACTGAAGGGGGCGCAAGTGAGCCCACAGGTTCTTGTTGCTACTGTTATTCTACGCAGAGACGGTAGACGCGAACAACAAAATAGACTTTTGTTTTGAAACTAGAGGGAGATAAGGAGGAATTTTACAAAAATGTAATGGAGATTGTTGTCCAGAAGGATAGCATGGACTTAATCTTCAAGTCAAGGTAAGACCACAATTGTAATGAACATAGGATCTTACTAAGAAAGAACAATCCAATATTTAGATTTTGGGTATCCTTTTGTTGAACAGTCTGTTTAAAATGAATCGAAGCATCAGACTAAAAAAGCTTTTGAAAATAACCGAACATTTCGATTAAGGTCAAAATATAATATTTGTAAATCTGACTCTGAAAGAGTCAGTGCCTCACCAGCCATGAACCTCACCGCACGTCACTGCATTATATTATATTATTATTGTTGCTGATGGTTGTGGTAGAAGAGATGTAGATTTTGCACTAAAATCTGTATCATGGTCAGTAGCGTCTGGAGCACGAACGCAACCCTGTGATTCGCCATTGTTGTTGGCAAAATGCATCATCAATGACGCGGCGGTGAGGAGAGGTGGGGCTATGGCGTCATCGTTTTCAGGGAATGATCGTATAGGGCGTACACACGGAGCCTACCCACTTTGGGAGCCGTTATCAAAGTGTATCGGATTCGGGCTCCGTTTCGGCCTTGTGTGGACGAACCGTCTATACCAGGCCCGCGAGACCATTTGGTACGGCCCTCGAGGTAATTTAGAAACACGCGCAAAAAAGAAAAAAATGAAAGAAATCTAGACCGCAAAAAAATTAAACTAGCGAGTGCCTGTTTATCCTGGCCAAGGTCAGGGTCCTTGAACACAACACGAGCCTAACGTGTCATCACGTGGTATATGTCTCGTCTGACACGGGTGTAGTGCTGAAGGAGAGCACCAGAACACCGCTCCGGCACTTCCAAAAATTGCAGTAGCCTACCCATAAGGAGCCGTACACATGCCGCAGTTTTTGCGTGTCTGTGTCTTTAGTTGAAAGTCCAGTGGCGATCTGTTCATGACTGTCATAGTGATCATACAGTCAATAACTTTGTTATTATTAGCATCTGGTTAGCTTGCTATGCTAACGAATATAAGAAGCTTTTTCTCCAACCAGTGAGGTAAAGGCACATCTTTATATGATCATTATTATAAAAAAATAAGATAATAAAGTAAACGGGTATAAAATACTATATGACAGTAAAAAAAAGTTGTTATTAATAAACAAGAATACAGTTTGAAAGGGGAGTGATTTGTAAAATGTCCATAAAGAAAAAGTAAATCTAAATTCTGTTTCATATAGGTGTTGAGAGATGTATCCATAGAGCTCCTAATGTTGCTCTCAAAGTGCACCAGATTGATGCTTTTAACTTCAACATTTAAAAAAAAATCTTCCCGGGGAGGCATACCCCCCGGACCCCCCTAGAGGAGGTTAGGTCCCCCCCACTTAAATCATGTCCACATGGATAGGAAACTAAATACATTTGCACACATCTTGTGTCCATATCTTTCTGTTTTGGTGTTCATGCCACAACCGTGCACGTGCATGCATCATCATGGTAAGATATCTGGATTAAGAGGTTGCTTTTTCTTTGCACAGCATGAAAGAAAGGCCAAATGAATGGGCTGTGATTTTAGTTTTTTTAAGCAGAGGTCAATAATTTGTACGGCCCTCGGAGGATGTTGAAAAAATTGAAATGGCCCTTGAGAGGAAAAAGGTTCCCCACCCCTGCTGTAGGGAGTACAACTCTAACACAGAAAATACCTCCACAAAACGCCTCGTTGGAAATGTCTCATTTACTTCCTGGGTATTGCTACGTAGGGATACCCAGTAGCCACGCCCAGCGCTATGGCCACACCCTCTGCCAGCCTTTCACGAAACAAAGTTTCCCAAAACCTTTCAGCAATTCATTCCGGATATGTACAGCATCGGGCACTGAAGAACGATATGTCATATTTATTATGCTACACAAACATTATATTGCAGTTTTGGTACCGTCAACTCCGTTATCTAATATGCAAAAAGACTGCAAAAATGCATCTATGATTATTTTTAGTATTTTCGATCTTTCCAATGCTGATGAGAGATCTCTCTCTCCCCGTCTGTGTGCGAGGGGGCGGAGCGGTTTGCACACATGCGGCGGCTATATGCCACACACACACACACACACACACACACACACACACACACACACACACACACACACACACACACACCACACACACACACACACACACACACACACACACACACACACACACACACACACACACACACACACACACACACACACACACACACACACACACACACTACTCCTGCTTTGTTTGGACCAGCGGGAGATTCGGGTACACAACCTGTAAGTATTCATTGTTGTTTGTGTATTTATGATGTTTAAAACAAACAAGGTATCTACCACGACTGTTTAAATGGGTAAATGTTTTTCGGACTACTTTGGGATCGCGGAGAAATGCTCTCCGCAGACCCATGCTCACAGCGTTATAAACCTTTTTCTTACTCAATATCAAGCCACACTTATTGTTTTTACTTCGGCTATGAGTGTTTGTGTGTGCTCAGGATGAGTTTAGCTTGTTCTCGCTGTATCTATCTCCGACAGGGAAGCCCTGTCTGCTCCTCACAGCAGCTCCTCACGAGCAGCTGCACGTTGCTTGACCAATCAGAGCAAAACCAATGTGAGTTTGGAAAATTGCACAGTATAAATCTATTTTAGTATACCTCAACAATGGAATTATGATCAGTAGAAATGGCCATGAAATGGGACCTTTAATATACAGACAACCTGATTGCAGTTTACACTTACCGACTACGTCGAGCTGGTGGGTGTGATTGATGCTGCCGTACTGGTTCTCCACCACACAGGTGTAGTTTCCCTTATCAGTGGGAACTACAGATTCCATGATGATGAAAAGCAAAGGTTACAGTGACTGGCGTATAAACAGAGTACAGATAGGACTACTGCTCAAAGTGACTAAGTATCCAAACATACGGTTTATGGTATTAAATAGCACAGGGGATATCCCAGCTATGTACACAGATTAGTTCATTTGTTGGCAGCTACATATGTGTTAACTGAAAAAAACCTCTCACTGCAGGTCAGTTTAGGTCCGGATGGAAATGGTAAAAATAGCACTTAATACTGTTTAAGAACCGTACAATCAGTACTTAAGTTCAACTCACATTGAAGTAACGTAGATGAGGCCAGCAGCTAGCCCACAGAGATGAAGCTAAACTGCAATTCTGCATTTTACATTAAAAACTTAAAATAACTTGTGTTCTCTCCATCTGCTTTTGGGGTTGTTTGCATTTGCTGATTTCATTAAAGAAACAGTAAAGCATGGCCCATACTCTCCCATCTAGAGAGTTTAGATGGAGCAGGAGCCATTCTGAGGACAGAGACGGTTTTAGTATTTTTTAACTCACCCTGGCTTCCTCTTAATTTTTTTTACAGAAATAGAGTCAGGCTCTTTTCTGGCCAATGTAAAGGTGGAGAGCCAGGCTGGAGTAGGAAAATGGTAAATAATGGAAATATAGGAGAGACAGAACCACTGATACCTTCAAAAACGGTCAACCATGCAGATTGATGAGAGATCCCGATAGAATTGCCCGCCAAGCAGGTGTACTCCCCAGCGTCATCAAAAGACACATTTCTCAGTTGGAGGATTTCCATTTCCTTGTCCGTGGTGTTAAGGCCAGCGGTCTAGAAAATAACAAAGGAAGCAGACCCAACAAGAGGCCCAAGAGGGGAAAGGTAACCATGAGTAAAGGATTCTGAAAGAGAAAGGGGATGGAGGAGCGTTCTCCTCCTCGATCCAACACCATTTGCCCACAAAGTACCACAGATGCCCCTTTCACAGCTGTGTTTTCAGCTCCGGCTCGGAGCTGGAGCCTGAAAAGTGCCGGTTTTTCCTGTTCACACCGCAGTGGCGCCGCCTCTTAGCTCCGGAATCCGGTTCACTTCCAGCTCCAAAAAATTGTCGGTCTAGAGGCAAGAGCTCCGGAGCTAAGAGGTGGTGTCGCTTACGTCTCTCTTACGTCGAGGCGTGCAGGAAACTAAACCCACCTCCCCTGAACATGGGTCGACTGTCATGCCTGCCTACAAGCAGTAGTGCTTATAAACACACTTTATAAAGTCAGGCAACACTAACCAGGCTTCGTGTGATTCTGTTTATTTGTACCTTACTTTGACCATCCGTTCACTGTTATTGATCATTGTGGAGAGAGGCAGACGTTTTGTTTTGTATTATAGCAGCTATCGGATGGAATCTACGGTGGCCCTGAAGTGCAAGACGCTACAGCATTTCAGAAAACACCACAGCATTTCACAAAACACAACAGCATTTCACAAAACGCCACAGCATTTCACAAAACACAACAGCATTTCAGAAAACACCACAGCATTTCACAAAACACCACAGCAATTCACAACACCACAGCATTTCACAAAACACCACAGCATTTCACATTGGACGGAAAGGGTATTCCTTTAGGGAGAACACTTCTTGTTTGTGATTGGACAGAGCAAGCACTGCTGTGATTGGTTGTTTTTGCTGCCAGTCAAGAAATGACGCTTCGTGATTGGTCAACACCCGACAGCGAAATATGTCCCAACACATCAGCCGTTAGCACACACTCAGAGCTCACAGCTCCTCATATCTGTTCAGAAACTGGACAAAAGTTAAACATATACAAACCACAGACTGTCTGTGTCATGGCGAATACAGTCGCTGCTTTATTTATGTCTGTATGACGTTGTTGTGAGTGTGGACGGAGCAGCTACAGGTTAGTTTAGCCTGATGGACCCGATTCCATTCAGAAAACACGCATTTTAAAAGCTTTTCGCCTGCCGTCTTATCTGCAGACTTGTCAAAGCGTTAATTCATGGTTTTTACTAACCGTTATCAGTATGTAGTTACTTCGGCATCACTTTGAAACGTGTATTACAATTAAATCACGGTCAAATATGTTCATTTTGTTGTGGTTGGTATCTCCCATAGGATTTACATGGAGATACGCCCCCGCCCCCTATCAGCGCCTCTTGTTTGAATGACAGGAGCAAACACAGCTGACAGCCGCGGTGAAACTCGAGCGATTAGAGCGATGCGAATATTGGGTGGTCTACCATAGTATTTACATGGAGATAAGCCCCTTAAAAACCATGAATTAATAAAGCATTAATTCTGTGTTTACTCCTGTCATTCAAACAAGACGCCGGAGAGGGGGCGGGCCGTATATCCATGTAAATCCTATCGGAATCGGATCGATCAGGCTAAACTAACCTGTAGCTGCTCCGTCCACACTCACAACAACGTCATACAGACATAAATAAAGCAGCGACTGTATTCACCATGACATAGACAGTCTGTGTTTTGTATATGTTGAACTTTTGTCCAGTTTCTGAACAGAAATGAGGAGCTGTGAGCTCTGAGTGTGTGCTAACAGCTAACGGCTGATGTGTTGGGCCAATCACGAAGCGTCATTTCTTGACTGGCCGCAAAAACAACCAATCACAGCAGCGCTTCTATGGCTGGCTCTGTCCAATCACAAACAAGAAGTGTTCTCCCTAAGGAATACCCTTTCCGTCCAATGTGAAATGCTGTGGTGTTTCCTGAAATGCTATGGTGTTTTGTGAAATGCTGCGGCGTTTTGTGAAATGCTGTGGCGTTTTGTGAAATGCTGTTGTGTTTTGTGAAATGCTGTGGTGTCTTGCACTTCAGGGCCACCGTATAAATCAATACATGGGCTGCACAGGTTGTCGTGTCCGACTATCACAAGTAGAATCATAATAAAAATACGCCGGTAAAATGTGCCTGTAGAAAACGGTTTATGCCACAATAGGATAGCAATAGCAAGTCGTCAGTTTAGCTTCGGTTGCTATGCTAACATCACCCATTTTTTACCAGAGAAACTTTCATAACAGCGTTGTGATACCAAACAGCGTCAATTCAGACTGACACACATTCACTTAGGCTAAGGGGAACTGGGGATATATATCAGCTGCTTGTGTGAGTCGGAGAGTGAATACTTTAGAGCGGCCGCTGCAGTGTGAGCTAACCGGGAGCTAACGGAGGAGAATAAACTCCCGTGGAAGAGCAGCCAACACTGCAGCGGTCGGTAAATGCCGCAGAAACACATTAATAAACAATGAACCACGGCACTCTGGAGAAAAGTATAAGGTTGGAGAAGTCGTTATTTAATTTAATCTGGCTTCGTGTGATTAAAAGCAACACGATCATCGACCCGACGCAGTTCCCCGTTGTTGTTGTTGTGAGCGCCGTAACGCCGTTGACGGTGACGTCATGACACAGCAGCGGCAGCACCAGTTGGGCTCTGGGCGGTGTGAACAGAGCGGGAGCAGAAAAGGGAAACCGGAGCTGAACCAGAAAAGCTCCCGCTCGGAGCTAGAAAGGGAAAAGCGCTGGTGTGAAAGCCGCAAGAGAGCCCCTGCAGAGGACTCTCCTTTCTGTTAGTGGAGAAGAGGGTTAGGTTGACTCCTGAACTGGGCCACCCCATCACCACATCAAATACCTCAGTCTCATCTCTACATGCAAGAGATGGGCAACATGGAAAACTCTGTAGCAGAACAGGGCACACTCACACTCACAATCATACAAACTATGTAAGCATCAGATAAAAACAGGAGGTCTGGGGAACATAGCTAAGCAGAAGGAGGACAGCTGGAAACAAATCTGGTGACGATCGGGCCTCTCCATATATAATTGGACACTTTACAAATATACTCTCCGCTCTCCTCCTCAGTCACATTGTAGAGGGCCAGCACCTGAGCGTCCGAGCTATTGACCCCAGAATGCTGGAAATAAAAACATGTCATGTACATCACAGAAAATCAGATGACAGTAAATAATTCAGGAGAAGTCATGTTGGTTATGTGCAGAGATTCAATAGCAAGATACACTTCATATATTCAGTTCCTACCACTTTAAGCCACTCTAAAAAGGATGTAAGATCAACTTTCAGATAACCAAAGTTAAATAGAAAAACAATAATTTGGCCCAAAATATATGTGTAACATTAAACCTTTTTCATAGAATTTTCACTCCCAAATGTTGCATCTCCTCTGAGCATCACAGCAAACAACTCTAAAATAATAAATGAAACATGAGTATTGCTGTATCCTGATCTGCGTGACGCTAATGTGCAAGCCATGCAGTAAATTATTATTTAAAAAAAAAAAGATGGATACCTATCATTTATAGATTGTAAAATATAAAATGTGTTTTATCAGGAAAAACATTTATTTAGCTCCACTGCCTGTCTTGGCCTTTTCAGAGATTTGAAAGGTTAATCAAAGTCATATTTTCCCATAAATAAGCACTACATTTTTAGATTCACACATTGAATGCCTTTTTAAGACTTTTATGCAGATCCGCAACTACTGGCTATCTAAGAAAATAAGTGGCATAGCAATACAGGGCAACATATAAAGAAGCATTCAAAAGAGTAATTTATACTGGTTTGTTGCTGCAGGAGTGATAAGAGGAAGCTCCTACCTTGAGCACACGGACATACGGTACTCCATCAGAGTCAACTCTGTTCCCGTTCACCTCGATGTGCTTCAGCCACTGGATGTGAGGCTGAGGGTCGTTGAGCACTTTGCACTCAAACTCCACGTCGCTGCCCACCACGGCGGTGCGGTCAGTGGGCAGGCCGGCCTGCAGGATGGGCCTGTGGGGAGAGCGCTCTGAAACACAACACAAAACAAACGAATGTTAGATTAGAAGAAGATTGGCGAGCTTCAATATCAAAGACAAACACGTGCAATCACTCAAAACGTACACACGGCTGACTGATTATCAAACACAGGCCAAATAAAACCAATGCGTTGTTACGGGAAAGGGCCGGGACAGACGGCAAACAAGTCCGTCTGTATCATTTAAACTGATACTATGTAAATTATAGACAATTGTTTCTTACATTGAGAATAAAAGCAGCTATTTCCTCAGCTATTGATTGCTGGTGAGATTATGAAGAGTTGGCCACAATACATGGAAGTTGAGTATCTGATCTGGAGCTGTAACTGAAAAAATTAAAAGTTCCTGCAGCTCCATTTTGATGACTGATAACTCTCCAAAGTAAACTCACTAGCCAAGAATCTGGCAGTGTGTCAACTGTGCAGGCTTTCCTCACCAAGACATTCATTGGCTCTTAGCAAGCACTTGTGAAAAAAACTCTCCCTTCACTGACGCCGTATCTCTGCTCATCAGGGTCTAAACATGGACTGAGGTCGAGCCCAGGGACAGCAGTGACGGAGGAAGTGGGGCCGAGATTTATAGAACCAGTGGTGTAGGAGTGAGGCTCAGGGCAGGTCTGAGGGGAGTCATCACTTCTCTCCTCTACACACATCCATCACTCGTGCACAGGCTTTATTTATTAAAGGGCTGAGAGAGATACAGTCGAACCCAACACAAGACTTTGATGATGAGGATTACAACTGGTTGGTTAATAGGGTATTCTGTTATGAGATATTGGAGGTATTACCCAATATTACTTAAAGGGGACCTATCATGCAAAATGCACTTTTGTACGTCTTTTATACATGAATGTGTCCCCGGTGTGTCAGGGAACTCACCAAGTGTCAGAAAACACAACCCTCTCTCTTTTCTCCATACACAAATCTCTAAAAACGGGGCTGCAACAGATCTGATACAGAATTATACAGATTTGAAATTGTTCTGACCAGAAACGGGGTGCTCCGCCTATATGGGCAACCCTCCACCTATCAGGGGAATGAGAGGTTGCGTGGCATGGTAACAGCATGGTAACAGCATGGTAACAGCATGGTAACATGACGCTCGTGCCTCGCCCCCCTCAGAGTCCTGCATCGGGTCGGGTATCCGACGGGTGACCCGCAAAAAAGGTGATTCGCGGGTGGTATTTTTTCAAACGCTTTTTTCCGGGTTCGGTTCTGGGTAAAACAAAGATGATGCGGGTCGGTCGCGGGTGTTGCATAATAAATATATTAAAATAATAATAATTTAGTTTAATGTTTAAATCCTCAGACCTCTCCCCTGCGGGACCGCGCATAATCATAACCTCTGCAGCGCATCAATCTGCTGCTAAGCGCGCCACATTCGAAATGGCTGAGGTGAAGCTCTCTAGCGGAGAATACAGCATTTTCAATAACAATTCCTCAAGAGCGAAATCCAACGCCTGGGAGGCTTTTGGTGTCATCCTAGATGGAGAAAATAACCAACATCCCACGCTTTTTGATACAAATATGCAACTGCGTGTGTTAATAATTGCACGTTTTCACTGCTCATATATATACGGGTTCGGGTCGGGTAGCGGATCCTGTGCCAACGGGTCCGGTCGGGTTGCGGAACTAATTGGCATTATGTGCGGCTAGCGGGACGGGTTCGATATTGCACGTCGCGGGTGCGGGTCTTGAAAATCAGACCCGTACAGGACTCTGGGTCAGCTGCAGCTCATTTGCCACAGAATCAGCCCTTGTGAAGACAGGGCTGGAATAGAGCATATAGAGCGAAATGAGGCATGGCTAAAATGCATGATCTGTTTGGTATTTTTTTTTAAAAACTTCACAGACATGTTTTATATAGGTATGGCCCTACAATAGATTATTCAAATGTAGCATCCCAGCTAGCGGGGAACGTTCTCACAACTTTGGCTAACGTTACCTATTGGTTCTAATAAGGTTTTAAAGAAACGTTTTAATCTGATGTTCAAAGAACCTTTTTAGGATGTTTATTTTTTCAAATAATGTTCCCATAAGGTTTAAGGTTAACTACATAACGTTTTAACTGCAACATTCAGAGGATGTTTTGAGGATGTTATTGAGGCCTGAGATGACAGAAAGTTTATTTATAAAACGTTCCTTTAATGTGATATGTTAACAAAGGTGGAACGTTTTCCTTGCAACATTCTAAGGATGTGTTTTGGACGTTGTTGGGTAACACATTAAAGATGTTCTTTATAAAACGTTCCCTCAATGTTACATGATAACAAATAAAGAACATTCTCCAAGCAACATTCTGAAACTATTTTCAGGATGTTATGAGGCCTGAGATGACAGAAGGGTTTTATAAAATGTTCCTTTAATGTGATATGTTAACAAAGGTGGAACGTTTTGCCTCCAACATTCTAAGGATGTGTTTTGGACGTTGTTGGGTAACACATTAAACATGTTCTTTATAAAACGTTCCCTCAATGTTACATGATAACAAATAAAGAACATTCTCCAAGCAACATTCTGAAACTATTTTCAGGATGTTATGAGGCCTGAGATGACAGAAGGGTTTTATAAAATGTTCCTTTAATGTGATATGTTAACAAAGGTGGAACGTTTTGCCTCCAACATTCTAAGGATGTGTTTTGGATGTTGTTGGGTAACACATTAAAGATGTTCTTTATAAAACGGTCCCTCAATGTTACATGATAACCAAAGAAGAATATTTTAAAAGCAACATTTGAATAATGTTTTCAGGAGGTTATTATTTTTTTATAAAATGTTCCTGTGATGCGAAATATTAACAGGGTCATGGTCAACGTCAGATTTATTTGTAGTGCGCTTTAAAAAACAAACTTGCTGCATTTGTTTGAAAAGGATGTTTAAAAGAAATCTGATGTCACCACATTTTAGTTTTTAGAAAAAAACAAGCACGTAATTCATGATATTGCACGTTTGCGTAGGCATGTCTGAGTTCCAAGCTAGACATTGTTGGTTCTAAAAACATTCTGAGAATGTTACCATTCATACCAGGAATGGTTTCATCGAGAAGTTTTATTTTGGTTCCTAGAATGTACTTCTGAAAGGTAGGATAACGTTCTCTAAAAACATTCTTAAAATGTTTGGTGATAACATTGTTCGAACATTATACCCCAAGTGTTTTTGTTGTTTATCTACATATCTCTATTGTCATATGGATCGAATAACACTTAGAAAACCAAAGACAGACATTTAGAAGAATGGACCGACTATCACTGCCCCCACCTGCCTGCTGGTCTGCTCGACACGGCTGGGAGCAATCTCCAATCAACCACACCTGCAACCTGCTCATCAGCCACACTATGAAAGCCTGCACTCATTCCCTGCCGGATTGTTGCCATGAACGTTTGTTGCGTGCCGCTCTACCTTTTTACCAGCATATTCTTTGACAACTTTGCCTGCTTTTGCCTCACACTCATGTTTGTGTCTCTCCCAGGAGAAATCCAAGGCCTTCCACACTCCCAAGACCAGCCAGGCCTCTCTACCCACCCTGGAACAACTGTTTCCCACTGCCGCCATAACCAACCTCCACTCCCAGCTCCCCTTTTCTAATAAACAAATGTTACTTTCACCAGCTGATTCCGAGTCATCCTTTTACATGTGTTAATAGTCAAATTCCAATAGTTAAGTAAACTATCATAATCATCCTAATGACCACAGTGGTCAGTCCACTTACCCAGGAATTTTGAGTTGAACAATTACAGGAATATTATGTCTTTATGTTCTAATAATGTAAACATATTTGAGTAAATTGTTACCACAGAACATTTGCATACTTTTTTAAAGATAAACCATGTTATCCTTTTCTAAAATAATAACATTCTGGCAACATAACAAATCTAACTTGCAGCTGAAAATAATTTAAGAACAGTAGGGCATAATGTTCTAACAATGTTATCAAAAACATTTTAAGAATGTTTTTAGAGAACGTTATCCTACCTTTCAGAAGAATGTTCTGGGAACCAAACAAAAACTTCCCGCTGGAAACCTTCCTAGAACAATGACTGTAACATTCTCAGAATGTTTTTAGAACCAACATTTTCTAGCTGGGATGATACAGTAGGTCCACTTTAAGGAAAATAATTGAGGAACATTTTATTCATGTAGAAACTGGGGCAACCCTAACCCTTTTCTTTTTAAATAATAAATAAACATAACGTATGATGAAAGTGTTCTGTGATCCATTTTTGAAATACTACTTCTTAGAAACTTGCCTAAGCCTCCCATTTTCATGTATGCAACAGGCAGCAGTTTATTCTTTATGCAACTTGAATTTGTTATTCTCGAAGTAAGATAGAATTAATAAATACAAAACACTTTTTAGCTAAATCTGTTTATTTGTACTAGTTTAGCATGAATACATATTAATATGCAATCATTTAACCTGTTAAGCCAGAGACCCCGGTAACGGGGGCCTCCTGCAATATCTTGCAGAAAACAGGGCATGTTTATTTAATAAACTATGAATGTTTTATATCCATGTAACGGAAAGAAACTCATCTAACTGGTCATTTTAATTATTTTTTCAAAAGAAAACCCCAGAATGCTAACGCTGAGCCTCTGAATTAGCAACGAGCGAAAAATGCTAACAGGTGACTGCACTGAAATTCACTCACAAAACCTTATTATTTATCTTTGCTGCACATCTCAACCCATCGTTTCACATCGTAAGGGGACACAGAATCGATGGGTACCCTCATTATCACTAAATTATACGAATTCTCGGAGATAATGACAAGAACACACATCAAAACATATGGAGCTAGTTAGCTAAAAACGGCAAAATGGCTTACCTGTGTGGTAGTCTGGTCAAAAGTGTTCTTCAATGGCATTAAAACGATAAAAACGATGCTGAAGTTAATCCATAGGTTAATCCAATGTGTCTGTGTCACTTGGAATGATTTCTGATAATCCATGAGCAATAAATCTGCTTTTCGGTTTTGAGATGTCAGACCTAGAGACAGCTTCACTCTGGAGCAAAACTGTGTGCACAAAGACGGGATCTTTTTTTTTTAACATGAGTGTGTGCGGGGAGTTTTCCCTTCGATTCTATAGGCTCTTACGGTCAGAAAGAGATGTCACATGTCAAAATCGAACAAGGGGGGCCAGAGATAAGGAAAATCCACCCAAATGGCCCCAGAAGGTTTTTTTTTTGCTAAATCTGTCTAAAAAGGTAAACTATCACTTGTTTTGCATCAATCTTGATACAGGGTATTTATTATATGTCTACTAACCCATCATCCAAGGTTAGTTTTCACTATAAGTACAACATATTTTTTGGACGGACACTATAATTTACAGTTTTTTACCATGTTCAATCTGAATTTTCTTTAAAATAAAAAACATCTATATTGATTCTGACTTTTCTACATCCAATTCACAGGTTTATCATTACTTTGAGAAAAAAGATTATTAATTTAACCCTTTTTAGAGGGTAAGATATGGTCATTTGTTCTGGGAATGTCATTTTCGAGCCTGAGACCTGAAAAACAGGCTAAGGGCTTAACAGGTTAATAATGAAATCGTCCTCAGCACACTTTACTCTGCTTCTTAACCATATTTTTGGACAACATCTTTATTAGCACAAAGCGGACTGGGGATTTCAATCAAATTGTGACCTCAACAAACCAAATCAATCAATATTGAATCAAATCAGAACACATTGAAAGATTAACACCCATACTATGGATTCTCATCAATATTCAACAGGTGACCAAGCCATGATAATGATTTACACCGCTCCGGCACTTCCAAAAATTGCAGTAGCCTACCCATAAGGAGCCGTACACATGCCGCAGTTTTTGCATGTCTGTGTCTTTAGTTGAAAGCCCAGTGGCGATCTGTTCATGACTGTCATACTGATTGTAAGAGAATATTTTAATCTGATCTGTTTATAGAGTTTCTTATGGTTTCTTAGAATCTGTGATACTGCAAACATCTGCTTGTGGTGTTTAGTAAAAACTCCTCTGTAAGTTGAGGTCACAGGTCAAACGCTTCTCCCATATCCTGTGGGGGGAAGGGTTTCAGGCCTGTCTGCATTTTCTTGAGACAAGTAGATTATTGTCTCCCATCTGCTATTGATTAGGTAAACGCGGGCTTCTGTGGGCCCGCCTCTCCTCGTGTTGCTGCGATTCTGTGGGTCTTTTTGGCAGAGATGATTTTGGTGGATCACAGGACGTGTGAAACTAAGGTGATCTCCCCGGCTGTATTCTGTACTGTGTTCAATAAACTCTCAGTGCTTTGGCTAACGACGTTCCAGACTCCTTCATTCTACCTCAACATTGCAACAACAGAAGTTTATCTTCACACTGATCATAGTCAATTTGTTGTTATTAGCATCTGGTTAGCTAGCTATGCTAACGAATATAAGAAGCTTTTTCTCCAACCAGTGAGGTAAAGGCACATCTTTATATGATCATTATTATGAAAAAATAAGATAATAAAGTAAACAGGTATAAAATACTATATGACGGTAAAAAAAAGTTGTTGTTGTTACAAGAATACAGTTTGAAAGGGGAGTGATTTGTAAAATGTCCATAAAGAAAAGTAAATCTAAATTCTGTTTCATATAGGTGTTGAGAGATGTATCCATAGAGCTCCTAATGTTGCTCTGTGCACCAGATTGATGCTTTTAACTTCAACATTTAAAAAAAAATCTTCCCGGGGGAGCATACCCGGATCCCCCTAGAAGAGGTTAGGTCCCCCCCACTTAAATCATGTCCACATGGATAGGAAACTAAATACATTTGCACACATCTTGTGTCCATATCTTTCTGTTTTGGTGTTCATGCCACAACCGTGCATCATCATGGTAAGATATCTGGATTAAGAGGTTGCTTTTTCTTTGCACAGCATGAAAGAAAGGCCAAATGAATGGGCTGTGATTTTAGTTTTTTTAAGCAGAGGTCAATAATTTGTACGGCCCTCGGAGGATGTTGAAAAAATTGAAATGGCCCTTGAGAGGAAAAAGGTTCCCCACCCCTGCTGTAGGGAGTACAACTCTAACACAGAAAATACCTCCCCAAAACGCCTCGTTGGAAATTTCTCATTTACTTCCTGGGTATTGCTACGTAGGGATACCCAGTAGGCACGCCCAGCGCTATGGCCACACCCTCTGCCAGCCTTTCACGAAACAAAGTTTCCCAAAACCTTTCAGCAATTCATTCCGGATATGTACAGCATAGGGCACTGAAGAACGATATGTCATATTTATTATGCTACACAAACATTATATTGCAGTTTTGGTGCCGTCAACTCCGTTATCTAATATGCAAAAAGACTGCAAAAATGCATCTATGATTATTTTTAGTATTTTCGATCTTTCCAATGCTGATGAGAGATCTCTCTCTCCCCGTCTGTGTGCGAGGGGGCGGAGCAGTTTGCACACATGCGGCTGCTACATGCAACACACACACACACACACACACACACACACACACACACACACCACACACACACACACACACACACACACACAACACACACACACACACACACACACACACACACACACACACACACACACACACACACACACAACACACACACACACACACACACACACACACACACACACACACACCACACACACACACACACACACACACACACTACTCCTGCTTTGTTTTGACCAGCGGGAGATTCGGGTACACAACCTGTAAGTATTCATTGTTGTTTGTGTATTTATGATGTTTAAAACAAACAAGGTATCTACCACGACTGTTTAAATGGGTAAACGTTTTTCGGACTACGTTGGGATCGCGGAGAAATGCTCTCCGCTGACCCATGCTCACAGCGCAATAAACCTTTTTCTTACTCAATATCAAGCCACACCTATTGTTTTTACTTCGGCTATGAGTGTTTGTGTGTGCTCAGGATGAGTTTAGCTTGTTCTCGCTGTATCTATCTCCGACAGGGAAGCCCTGTCTGCTCCTCACAGCAGCTCCTCACGAGCAGCTGCACGTTACTTGACCAATCAGAGCACACTGGGCTCACAGGGGGGGGGGGGGCGAGCTCCAACAAGCCGTTTAGGACAGAGAGTGAATACCGGTGAATACACATACTTTACAGAGATGCTGTATGAGAAACCAATGTGAGTTTGGAAAATTGCACAGTATAAATCTATTTTAGTATACCTCAACAATGGAATTATGATCAGTAGAAATGGCCATGACATGGGACCTTTAATATACAGACAACCTGATTGCAGTTTACACTTACCGACTACGTCGAGCTGGTGGGTGTGATTGATGCTGCCGTACTGGTTCTCCACCACACAGGTGTAGTTTCCCTTATCAGTGGGAACTACAGATTCCATGATGATGAAAAGCAAAGGTTACAGTGACTGGCGTATAAACAGAGTACAGATAGGACTACTGCTCAAAGTGACTAAGTATCCAAACATACGGTTTATGGTATTAAACAGCACAGGGGATATCCCAGCTATGTACACAGATTAGTTCATTTGTTGGCAGCTACATATGTGTTAACTCAAAAAAACCTCTCACTGCAGGTCAGTTTAGGTCCGGATGGAAATGGTAAAAATAGCACTTAATACTGTTTAAGAACCGTACAATCAGTACTTAAGTTCAACTCACATTGAAGTAACGTAGATGAGGCCAGCAGCTAGCCCACAGAGATGAAGCTAAACTGCAATTCTGCATTTTACATTAAAAACTTAAAATAACTTGTGTTCTCTCCGTCTGCTTTTGGGGTTGTTTGCATTTGCTGATTTCATTAAAGAAACAGTAAAGCATGGCCCATACTCTCCCATCTAGAGAGTTTAGATGGAGCAGGAGCCATTCTGAGGACAGAGACGGTTTTAGTATTTTTTAACTCACCCTGGCTTCCTCTTAATTTTTTTTACAGAAATAGAGTCAGGCTCTTTTCTGGCCAATGTAAAGGTGGAGAGCCAGGCAGGAGTAGGAAAATGGTAAATAATGGAAATATAGGAGAGACAGAACCACTGATACCTTCAAAAACGGTCAACCATGCAGAGTGATGAGAGAACCCGATAGAATTGCCCGCCAAGCAGGTGTACTCCCCAGCGTCATCAAACGACACATTTCTCAGTTGGAGGATTTCGATTTCCTTGTCCCTGGTGTTAAGGCCAGCGGTCTAGAAAATAACAAAGGAAGCAGACCCAACAAGAGGCCCAAGAGGGGAAAGGTAACCATGAGTAAAGGATTCTGAAAGAGAAAGGGGATGGAGGAGCGTTCTCCTCCTCGATCCAACACCATCTGCCGGGTCCAACATAAACCCAAGCCTAAACACTTTTTTTTAAACTGTTCTGCTGGGAATTTTCCATAGCATAATTTACAGTCAGGAGTACTGAGCTAGGAGAGAGGGAGGAGAGAAACAGCTGAGGTTGTCTTGAGTTATACGGCCCTAGTTTATCCAGGTGGTCCACTCTGTCGTCCCTGTGCTGCGCGGTGGTTACCTGTGGGCTCATATCTGGTGACAGTCAGCCAGGCCGACTGATTGGCCTCTCCTATATAATTGGACACTTTACAAATATACTCTCCGCTCTCCTCCTCAGTCACATTGTAGAGGGCCAGCACCTGAGCGTCCGAGCTATTGACCCCAGAATGCTGGAAATAAAAACATGTCATGTACATCACAGAAAATCAGATGACAGTAAAGAATTCAGCAGAAGTCATGTTGGTTATGTGCAGAGATTCAATAGCAAGATACACTTCATATATTCAGTTCCTAGAGCTTAAGACAAGTTCGATTTAAGACTTTTATGCCACATTTTAGATGCAATACCAACTCAAAGATAACAAATTAAATAAAGCAACCTTGCTAAAAATATATCTGTAACATAAAAATGTTTTCATATAATTATCACTCACTCATGTTGCATCTGCTCTGAGCATCACAGAAAACCAACCAATAAGTGTACTGCTGGTTACTCTATCCTGATATGTGTGACGCTAATGCGAGAAGCATGCAGTCAATAGTTACAAAAAAGATATGTTACCAATCATTTGGTCGTTTTAAAACTAATGACAGAAAAAAATGTATTATTCATTACTCATCTTAGCATTGTTAAGAGCTTTGGAAGATTGATCCATACTTATTTCAGATTGATGATTTGAATGCCTTTTAAGATTTTTATAAGAATCCCCTTTCACAGGAAGTACTTACGATCTAAGAAAATAAGTGACATAGCAATACAGGGCAATATATAAAGAAGCATTCAAAAGAGTAATTTATACTGGCAGGAGGAGTGATAAGAGGAAGCTCCTACCTTGAGCACACGGACATACGGTAATCCATCAGAACCGACTCTGCTCCCGTTCACCTCGATGTGCTTCAGCCACTGGATTTGAGGCTGAGGGTCGCTGAACACTTTGCACTCAAACTCCACGTCGCTGCCCACCACGGCGGTGCGGTTGGCGGGCAGGCCGGCCTGCAGGATGGGCCTGTGGGGAGAGCGCTCTGAAACACAACACAAAACAAACGAATGTTAGATTAGAAGAAGATTGGCGAGCTTCAATATCAAAGACAAACACGTGCATCACTCCAAAAGTACACACGGCTGACTGATTATCAAACACAGGCCAAACAAAACCAATGCGTTGTTACGGGAAAGGGCCGGGACAGTCCGTCTGTATAATCTAAACTGATACTATGTAATTTATAGACAATCGTTCTGCTACATGGAGAATAAAATCAGCTATTTCCTCAGCTATTGAGGAAATTTAGCAAGCACTTGTGAAAAAACTCTCCCTTCACTGACGCCGTATCTCTGCTCATCAGGGTCTAAACATGGACTGAGGTCGAGCCCAGGGACAGCAGTGACGGAGGAAGTGGGGCCGAGATTTATAGAACCAGTGGTGTAGGAGTGAGGCTCAGGGCAGGTCTGAGGGGAGTCATCACTTCTCTCCTCTACACACATCCATCACTCGTGCACAGGCTTTATTTATTAAAGGGCTGAGAGAGATACAGTCGAACCCAACACAAGACTTTGATGCTTCGGGGATGAGGATTACAACTGGTTGGGTAATAGGGTATTCTGGTATGAGATATTAGAGGTATTATCCAACATTACTTAAGGAAAAGGATTAGGGACAAATTGATTCATGTAGGAATTGGGGCAACCCTAACCCTTTTTTTCTTTTAAATAAATAAAAGAAATGTATGGTGAATGTCTTGGTGAAACAAAACGTATGGTGAAATAGGCTAACTCCTTAAGAAACTTGTCTAAGCTTCCCATTTTCATGTATGCATCGGCAGCAGTTTATTTTTTGTGTAACTTGAAGTTGTTATTCTTGAAGTAAGTGAGAATTAAGAAATACTAAACACCATTTAGCTAAATCTGTTTATTTGTGCTAGTTTAGCATGAATACATATTAATATGCAATAATATAACAATTAAATCGTTCTAAGCACACTTTACTGCTTCTATACCATATTTTTGGACAACATCTTTATTAGCACAAAGCGGACTGGGGATTTCAATCAAAGCGTGACCCCAACAAACCAAATCAATCAATATTGAATCAAAATCAGAAAACATTGAAAGATTAACACCCATACTCTGGATTCTCATCAATATTCAACAGGTGACCAAGCCATGATATAGATTTATTGATCAGGGTTTAATATACAGACAACCTGATTGCAGTTTACACTTACCCACTACGTCGAGCTGGTAGGTGTGATTGATGCTGCCGTACTGGTTCTCCACCACACAGGTGTAGTTTCCCTTATCAGAGGGAACTACCGATTCCATGATGATGGTCCACACATGCCGGACCTAACAGTTTGGAAAAAGCAGATGTTAGAGTGACTGGCGTACAAACACAGTACAGATAGGACTGCTGCTCAAAGTGACTAATGGCGCGTTTCCACTGCAGCAGGTAGCCCCGTTTAAGCGTCCTTAACCGTCCTCAAGCGGCCAGGCCGGTTTTTGGTGGCGTTTCCATATAGCCTAGTACCGGCCAGCGGGTACTTTTTCCCTCTTTTTCCGGCCTCATAAAATCGTGGTTCCCTCAGACCAGGGCCAGGGCTGAACTAGTGACGTCAACACTCTCGACTGCTGATTGGTCAGAGAGAATCGTCACAAGATTGCGCGCAAGTTCATCCCTAGCGTCGCATATATATCTAGAAGCAAGCTTGCAGCATTTTTATACACAGCATTTTGTAAACGGAGGAGCTACAAAAATGGCTACTTCTAAGAAAAGCACACCGTGGTCGACCGAGGAGGTGCTGTGATCCCTTTCCTTCTTCTTGCTGTGATAAAAAGCCACACCAAGAAACAAGTACACGATCGCTTCCATATCCTCCATTGTTGTGTGTGAGTTGTGTCGCATTGAAGATGACGCCACTGCAGTTTTATCTCAGCGTCGCTCCGCCCAAAAAGCCCGCCAAAAAGCTGATCGCCCCGCCTACACTGCGTTGCTAGCCCAGGTCCTAAACTGTAATGGAAATGCGCCACGGCCTGGGCCGGCCAGCGAGGCAGCCCGAGGCCAGAGCAAGGACGCTTAGGGACGCTTAAACGGGGCTACCCCGCTGCAGTGGAAACGCGCCATAAGTATCCAAACATACGGTTTATGGTATTAAACAGCACAGGGGATATCCCAGCTATGTACACAGATTAGTTCATTTGTTGGCAGCTACAGATGTGTTAGCTCACAAAAACCTCTCACTGCAGGTCAGATTAGGTCCTGATGGAAATGGTAAAAATAGCACTTAATAGTGTTTAAGAACAATCAGTACTTAAATTCAACTCAAATTGAAGTAACGTAAATGAGGCCAGCAGCTAGCCCACAGAGATGAAGCTAAATTGCAATTCTGCATTTTACATTAAAAACTTAAGAGAACTTGTGTTCTCTCCATCTGCTTTTAACCTATATGAATTGTCGTAAATCAAATGTTGTTCTGTTCAAAGCGACGGCTAACAAGGGTCAATGATGTGTGATGTGATGATAACAAGATAACACACTACTCCTTCTTCCTGTGACACCAGCCTATGTTACAAACAGCGGATCTTTGTCCTACCAAACAAAGACCAAAGGAAAATGGGTACATGTTTTATATACATCTGCCCCAACTTGTCTTATTAGCGCCAACTGATGTCTGGCTCTTTTTTCCAAGACATGTTGTAGTTTTTCTTCCATAAATCTGCGAAGACCGGCAGTGTGTGATTACCCAACGAACCTCTGAGGCAATGGCAACATCAAACATGCATATACACAAGACAGGCTTCATACACTTTTTCACCAATGACTTTTCCATGACCTTTACCTAATTTTCCATGACCAAAAAAAAATTACCACTGAAAATGGTTTATTTGAACATGGAACAGGAAAATAAGGTCTGCATATGAAACATGTTGTGTCTATCTAAAACAAATCAAATAGTAGGCTTACTAGCTTCTACACGCTGAAGCAACTGTAGTCAGGGAGGCAAAGTCATCAGGTATGAAAAAGGTGACAAGGACCCGAGCCCCTGACCCCCCGCAATATCGGCTTTAAAATGAGGAACAGAGGATTTTAGCAGTCAGAACAACTAAAGCAGCAGTGTTAATAATAACAGAAACGCCAAAGAGTCACATCTAATAGAAATATATAAAAGTATTTATTTTAATCGTGTAGCAGTCAGTTTATAATTCTGGCAGCACTGTTGAGCATTTTGAAAATGTATTTTCATGCCTCTGTGCAAGGCTTAGTCTTTCTATCTGTATAGCCACTGGTGTAAAGTAACTAAGTGGGTACAATTTTGAGATACTTGTACTTTATTCAATGTTTTTGCTACTGTGTACTTCTACTCCTCTACAGTTCAGAGGTACATGGTGTACTTCTACTCCACTACATGTATTTAATACCTTTAGTTACTTTACAGATCAGGATGAATGATGTGAAATATAATCAAGTGTTGAATCAGACTTTAGTTCCACCTGGAGTAAATTCACAAGCTACCCTGCAGTATACAAAGTCATTCAAACTAGCTGCACCTTTACCAGCTTTGAGAACACTTTAATGTTCAATCATTATAAAACATATCATATATATTATTCTGAAATGGACCAATCTGCACAATGACTACTTTTACTATCGCTACTTTAACTATATTTTGATGAGAATACTTTCTACTTTCACTTGAGGAACATTTTGAATGCAGGACTTTTACTGTAACAGAGTATTCCAACACTCTGGTACTTCTACTTTTACTCAAGTACAAGATCTGAGTACTTCTACTTTTACTCAAGAACAAGATCTGAGTACTTCTACTTTTACTCAAGTACAAGATCTGAGTACTTCTACTTTTACTCAAGTACAAGATCTGAGTACTTCTACTTTTACTCAAGTACAAGATCTGAGTACTTCTACTTTTACTTATCTGAGTACTTCTACTTTTACTCAAGTACAAGATCTAAGTACTTCTACTTTTACTCAAGTACAAGATCTGAGTACTTCTACTTTTACTCAAGTACAAGATCTAAGTACTTCTACTTTTACTCAAGTACAAGATCTGAGTACTTCTACTTTTACTCAAGTACAAGATCTGAGTACTATACTTTTATCAAGTACAAGATCTGAGTGCTTCGACTAAAGTACAAGATCTGAGTAATTCTATTTTTACTCTAGTAAATATCTATACTTATACCACCTCTGAAAACGAAGGCTAAAGCTAACGTTAGCAGATAGTGACAATGTATGCTAGCTAGCTAGCTCAACGATTCCTTAAATCAGAGGTGGGGAATCTCCGGCCCCCGGGCCGTATACGGCCCGCGAGAAAATTTGGTACGGCCCTCGAGGTAATTTATAAACACACGCAAAAAAGAAAACAAATTAAGAAATCTAGACCGCAAAAAAATTAAACATGTGAGTGTCCTGTTTTTCCTGGCCAAGGTCAGGGTCCTTGAACACAACACAAGCCTAACGTGTCATCACGTGGTATATGTCTCGTCTGACAGGGGTGCAGTTCTGACAGAGAGCACCAGAACGTGGCTCCTTCAGATAAGGAGCCGTACACATGCCGCAGTTTTTGCGTGGCTGTGTCTTTAGTTGTAAGCCCAGTGGCGATCATACAGTCAATAGCTTTGTTGTTATTAGCATCTGGTTAGCTAGCTATGCTAGCAAATATAAGAATATTTTTCTACAACCAGTGAGGTAAAGGCACATCTTTATATGATCATTATAGTTATAAAAAAATAAGAGAATAAAGTAAACAGGTATAAAATACTATATGACAGTAAAAAAAAGTTGTTATTAATAAACAAGAATACAGTTTGAAAGAGGAGTGATTTGTAAAATATCCATAAAGAAAAAGTAAATATGCTTACAGGTTTGTTTCATATGGGTGTTGAGAGATGATCTCTTAATGTTGCTCTCAAAGTGCACCAGATTGATGCTTTTAACTTCAACATTTTAAAAAAATCTTCCCGGGGGAGCATGCCCCTCGGACCCCCCTAGAGGAGGTTAGGTCCCCCCCCCCCCCACACTTAAATCATGTCCACATGGATAGGAAACTAAATACATTTGCACACATCTTGTGTCGACATCTTTCTGTTTTGGTGGTCATGCCACAACCGTGCACGTGTATGCATGCGCGAGTCATGGTAAGATATCTGGATTAAGAGGTTGCTTTTTCTTTGCACAGCACGAAAGAAAGAAGAAATAAATGGGTTGTGATTTTAGTATTTTTAAGATGAGGTCAATAATTTGTACGGCCCTCGGAGGATGTTGAAAAAATTGAAATGGCCCTTGAGAGGAAAAAGGTTCCCCACCCCTGCCTTAAATGATATTGCGACAGAAAAACCTTTCAGTTCACATCACGCTCTGCTCTGAACGGCCCGTTCTAACAGCTGTTCACCAGCGGTGCAGTCTGTGCCACAGTGACTCCGCACAGTTAACGAACGCACCGTAGCTAATGTAGCTGACCATCATCCCGGAACAGCAGAGTTCAGCCGCCAGGCAGGAAGACTCGAGCACACAGCTCGCGCTTCATATATTAAAATATAACACCATGCGCGTCATGATGGCACATAACAGCTCGCAACCGCAGATTATTTCGGCAATTAGATCAAATGTAAATTATATTTGACGCAACTTTAGTTACATTTCCATGACTTTTCCAAAACTTTGGGAAAAATATTGTTTTCCATAACTTTTCCAGGGCCTGGAATTTGCATTTTGAATTTCCATAACTTTTCCAGGTTTTCAATGACCGTACGAACCCTGACAAGACCAAGCCATACAGTTTCCCTCATTTAGCTAAAACGTGATGAGGGGGAGTTGTTATCTGTGTTGGTTATTCTCGCGTCCAGGAGAGAAGCTTTAAAAAAGGAGACTAATTGAGTCTCTGTGAAAGTTCAAATTGGTACTTTAATTAAAAATATGGCGCGGTAATGTTACAAACAGGAAAATGATCAGACAGAAAAGCAGCTGTCGTCTGGCTCTTGCTAGCGGAGAAAAGAGGGCGAGTTCCCCCTCTGCTGGCTCCTCCTTGTGTACCGGTCGGCACTGCTGGGGGCCGGCCCTCCACGTATTTAATGTCCGTTGTTACGCATATCAGAGGATACAGACATTGTACATTCAATATATATCTAAACACGCCTTTTCTCCTCCTTAACTCTTTCATGACATTTCATTTAACACATTCTAAACGCTGTAATCAATACTTAAAAACGAATACATTATTCAAAGTCTCTGGGGCCTCATGATGCCATAGCCAGTAAGTGGTGGTGTAAAACAGATCCGGTTCACATCCATCACCTGCCTCACCTCTGCTAAGTAAATCCAGAGATAACAGTAAACTGTGTTATCAACAATTATAGTTTAGCAGTTTACCGTATTAGCAGATGGCTGCGGATTTTAATACAGCTTGCCAGGAAATGGGCAGACGTTGACGAAGTTATGATAGCATACACAAAATATACAGTAAGTAATATATAGAGGCTGTGAAACAACATTTTTATCTTTTGACACTGACCAAATTGTTAAAAGCCATACGTTTTGATACCATATTCCAATACATAAGGATTAAATCTCATGAACGTTAGTGAGCTAATAAACATGGAGCTTGTCTGTACAATAAGAAAAAAAAATAATCTGTAAGGTACTGCACATTGTCGTAATTTTGTTTGTATTCAAATTAAATGTATAACATTGGTGTCAAAAAAGGGTATCATTCAGGGATCAGACACAGGGACCAGATATAACTGAACAATACCCAGCCCTCATATTGGTAGATTTACTGCTGCATGGATGAAATTACAGAAATGTCTTGATACCCAGAATGAGGACAGCCAATGTTATGGGTGGCTAGGATTGCCCACCTGGAGGTATTATAGCTCTGCCACGACTTCCCTTTTTGTGGCATTAGGTTTCATCTTGCATTGTTTCTCAGGTCAAATATGACACTTGCCTCCGCTTTTCACTTGCAGGAAGTGTTTCTTACTCCAGGGGAGGGGGCGGTGGTGATCTAATGTAGAGATGAGATCACTGACACATCTCCCCTCGTAGTGAACGGGCTTGGAGTTATTCAATAAGAAATGCTAAGGAGGGTGTAGCGTCACTAAAAATAAACTGAACGGAAAACGTTTCTAAAAATATGTTCTGTTACCTTGAAGCCCCCGATGCGATGGCCTCTCTTGAACTCCCTTCCATTCTTGTACCATTTCAGGGTGGGATTTGGGTTTCCGCTGGCCTGGCACCGAAACTTCACCGTCTTACTGGCTGGGACAGCGTGAAGCTTTTTCTCCATTTTCTCTGGATGAGCCCATTGTGGAGCCATTGCTAAAGAAGACGACACAAAATAAAAAATAAATCAGACAAGTAATAAATACTATCTTGTGTTTGTAAGGATGCAAAACATTGTAGGTACCTTAAACCTCAAGCTCCATTTGAATCAGGGCAATAGAGAACCGCAGTGACGCGTCGTAAAACCCGGAAGTAAGTTATCATTTTTAGCACTTCCGGTTCCTTCGTCAAAAAGCAATGCATTTTCTCCATAGGGTTTTGGAAAATAGCTCGAAATAAGGTCTGTGGTTGACACAAATTTAAGAGATAAATCACGTTTTGTTCTACGACATTAAATACATCAGCAGTGACCCCACTGGTGATTTTTGAAGAGTTTACGTGTCTGAAAAACGATGGTTGTTACCGAGTGGCTGAATAGGACTACAGAAATTGTCGAGGCCGTTGTACGTCATTACGCCTAACACGTAAACACTCCCGCTAAGTTTGTTTTCCCCTGTGTTCTGCTTGAAAGCAAGTACCTGCCTATCTTTAGTATCTATATCTGACCATTAGAATCTGTATTTTTGAAATTGTCGTTTTTAACACCGTAGTTTTACAAATTATAGAATAATGAATTACCAGTGTTTTCCAATTTTACTCGGCAGTTCGTTTCGTTAGCTAACGTTAGCTAAAGCTAGCGCTACTAGTTAGCTACGTAATGGTTTGTTGCTTTGCTCCGGGTTGCAGCCACAGGTCTTTGCATGAAACGTGCTCGTTCTATCGTTTTCCGGCCAATGTTTTCCAAAGGAGAGTCTGGATTCGTGCTATGAGGTAAGCTGACGTTACATTTTTGTCCATGTCACGGTGAAATGTAAATGATGGGTAGTGACTGTATCGCCGTTTTAGAGATGGCGCTGCTGAAAAGACTGCAACATAAGTAAAGATAATGAATACATCCTATTAAAACCTGTGTGGCTTATATGATAAGTCTAATTAGTACAAGCAGCATAACGTTTCACCATGTAACTAAAGATTGTAGTCAGGGAAATCAGTTTGACATATTGAACTAATAACAAATCACCTCTGGCTGGCAGAGAACTCTCTGCTCCATAGCTTCTCTTGGACGTAAAATCACATGTACCTTTTACATTTATATTCAATTTAATATTCCATCCCTCACATACTTTTGTATATATAATAACTTATATTTTGTTTTTCTGCTGCAACACAAACATTTCCCAAATTGGGATCAATACAGTAATATCTTATCTTAATTAATTAAGAAATATAACTATTATAATTAGTGTAGCAGCTGACACCTATTTTCAATATGGATTAATCTACCATTTATTTCTTTAGTTCAATTTTCATCTATAAAAATGTCAAAATAGTGAAAATGTTCACGAGACAAAGTGCAAGGTTATATCTTTAAATGTTTTGTTTTAGCCTATGTAGTGTACTGTATGTCTTAATGCTCTTATATGTGACGGTGTTACTTCCATGAAACTAATATTTTATATCTTCCCAACAGAAGAGCTGACAGGAAGCCTAACACTCTAACAACCACAACATTGCAAAGGCGAGTAAATGTAAATTAAAAACGATTCACAATTGTTTTCTTTCTTCTTCTTTCTTGCAGTGAGGTGAAGCTGACCTTGCACTTGGTGCCAGTAAGGATGTTCCTCACGCAGGCTGAATGTTTCTCCCTCCTTACTGACACAGAAGCCCTTGATTTGCAATGCTTCACTAATTGTCATTTCCCTGGCTCCGTAGGGACACTTTACCTCCAGCACAGCGGAAGACCCTACCTGACCATCTGGAGATGCCCCCAACACTCCTGATTGGGAGAGCCACAAACCTGACTCATGGACCTGCATCTGGGTTGCAGTGGTGAATGCCCTGACACCCTCACATTCATTCATAGTTCCCCACTGTACAGACAAAACACCATCAAGGGCCTGTTGTTGCCCTAGCACCCTGGCAATAAAGGAAGCAGTCACACGCTTTGACCTCAGGACAGCTCCAAAGTTGCTGGCAGTCAACCTTCCTTTCCTGAACAAATGCCAGTTTGGGTTGGTTCGCTGACCAGTGGTAGCCACCTGAATTGCCCTCTGTTGCCCCTCAGACAATGCCATGCTTGCCACAATTGCCTCAGGTCAGGTCCCTGATGCCCAACAGATTTGATAATTTCAGGAACAGTAAGTGTTTCCAAGCTGTAGTGTTCCTCTTCTGGCTCGGGGGAGAGAAGCCAAGAAATTCCTGAGAACCTGCCCCCGAGTCTGTCCCTCAGCCAGTCACGATCTTCGGAGGTGGGCTCTCTTGTCAGCGGGTTGAATGAGTTATTGGTTGGAGGAAATAGCTCCTCCACTGAATGCGTACGTTTAGCTGCCTTTGGCTTCTTCCACTGACAGGGGGTGTCAGTGCAGCTGAAATTGTGGATGGCAAAGATGGCTAATGCAGCCGCATGACTGCATTTCCATTCTCCACATGGGCATTCACATTTTGTGGAGAGAATTCCCTCTTCTCCTGTAGATACCTGTGGTGGTGGGATTGTTTTATTATTTAAAATATATTTACATTTGTAATGCCTTCCCAATTATCCCTTTAATTGTTTATAGCCTACTGTATGTTTATTTCATGGATATTTCTGTGTTTTCTGGTGTGTAATATTTGTAATCTTGGGGCCTTTTCTCTTTAACGTCTACATGCTACCACTGGCTCAGATAATGAAGAACAACAAAATAAGTTACCATAGCTATGCAGATGACACACACATTTACGTAACCATTTCACCAGGAGACTATGCTCCAATTCAAACACTGAGTAAGTGCATTGAACAAATCAATGACTGGATGTGTCAGAACTTTCTCCAATTAAACAAAGATAAAACTGAGGTAATGATTTTTGGAGCCAAGTCAGAACGTATAAAAGTTAGCGCTGAGCTTCAGCCTGCAATGTTCAAAACAACAGATAGAGCCAGAAATCTAGGTGTAGTCATGGACTCTGACCTGAGTTTCAACAGTCACATTAAAAGAGTTACTAAATCAGCCTACTATCACCTAAAGAACATATCTAGGATTAAAAGACTAATGTCACAGTAGGATTTGGAAAAACTTGTCCATGCTTTTATCTTCAGTAGACTCGACTACTGTAATGGTGTCTTCACCGGTCTCACTAAAAAATCTATTAGAAAGCTGCAGCTGATTCAGAACGCTGCTGCTCGAGTCCTCACTAACACTAAGAAAGTGGATCACATCACTCCTGTTCTGTAGTCTTTGCACTGGCTTCCTGTGTGTCAAAGAATAGATTTCAAAATACTGCTGCTGGTTTATAAAGCACTGAATGGTTAGGCCCAAAATACATTTCTGACCTCCTGCTAAATTATGAACCATCCAGATCTCTCAGGTCTTCAGGGACTGGTCAACTTTCTGTCCCCAGTGTCAGAACTAAACATGGAGAAGCAGCGTTCAGTTATTTGGGAGTCGTCCGCATAAAGGTGGTAAGAGACGCCATGTTTTCTAAAAAATTAGTGAACTATATGTTGCTAAATCGACCGCGGGGAATAACCAGAAGGGTAACCAGGCAACCATGGCAACCATGCTCGTGGGTCTCATTCGCTGCTTTTGGTGTATTTTGTGGCGGAAGTACAGCGCCACTTACAGGCCCGGCATTATGTACTACAGCATTTCCAGCGGGTCGAGTGTTTTCGTGTGGACGGACACGTTTCTTGAGCCGTTTCCGTGTGGACGGAAGACTTTTTGGAAAAAGACTACGGTTCGTTTTCGTCTCCGTGTGGACGGGGCCTAAACCTCAAGCTCCATTTGAATCAGGGCAATAGCTTTATTGTAGGGGAGGGTAAGGCAAATTGGTGCCAGGGGGACCAATTTGAAGATGACGTCACGGCTCCTTCTACACTGCGTTACTATAGTTACTACCCCAGTTCCTAAACTGTAATGGAAACGCAGCATAAAGTGAGCCTGGCCTACCAAGGCCTAACTATATCGTACTAAGCCATGCGAAATGCGCCATAAGACCCTGACAAATGAAGTGGCCAAGAATGATCTGAAGAACCTCGAATAGAGAAACTGGGCCTTTCAGGGTTCCAAAATAATGAGATTTCAAATATTAGAGATTGAGTCTCCCTTAGATTGTAGTGTGGCTGGATGAAGTCTGCTAGCAATTGTTTTATTTATTCCCACCTGACCAATTTCGGGACATAATCCCCACTGACTAACCCACACACATTTTGTTTAATCAACCACCTGAACCTGACCAGACTCAAACTTTTTGCAGTAAGTAGCTCAGTAATCAGGACTGAAATAAGGACAGACTACGGGGGAATTGCTGTATGTGTGTGAATGTTTTATAATTGATAAAGAGAGATATTGTTAGCATAGTTGCTCCATTTAGTCTGAATTTGAAAAACTGTACCACCTTGGCAATGGAGAGACTCGATCTGAACTGTTATATTTTGCTAGTAAGCTTAACCAAACCTCTGGGGAACCTCTAGGTCAGGGGTGCCCAATACGTCGACCGGTCGATCGCAAAGGTATAGATCGCATGGCATTGAAGGAAAAAAAAAAAAAATATTTTTTTTTTTTTTTTTAAAGTTAGCCTATCATCCATCTTTACTATGGCATTTGCCACTTGATTGACGTACAGGTAAGCCAGTCTGAGTTGTATTGTGCCATACGGGTTCATGCCGTTATGAGGGGGCCTCACCTCCTCATCTGAAGCGCAAATGCGGCGCACTATTATGCGCAATTAGTGTAAACCAGTTTATCCGCCGTTTAATCCACTAGCGCGCTCGCGACACAGACTGGGCAGATCTTTTGGGGTTGGCCATTTTAAAAGTAGCTCCCAAGCTGAAAAAGTGTGGGCACCCCTGCATCACAAACCTACATCATAACCGGTGCATCAGTAGTGGATGGGCTCACCCTCAAAAAGAGGATAAGAAGCAATGAGGAATGTCTGGTCTGTCTTTTTTGGCCTCCCACCACAAACCAGACTTGCTTTAGCGCAGGGGTAGCCAACACGGTACGGTGCCCGCGGGCACT